TAAGTATTTATGTCCATCTAGTGGAGTAATTAAATTTTAAGCTACATATGTCGTTCAAGTTGAATATTACTATTGTTTTTGTACTAGTTTATTGCCACATTGGCTTTGTTCCACTCACCCACCACAATAAGCTTATCGAAAATAAATAATAAATGTACAACAAAGAATAAACACATGTACTGGTTTGTATCTACAACAAACAAAAAGTAAAGTTGTTCTCAAAGGACCCTCTTGAAGACAAAGATTGTATCATCACAGATTTCATGACCGGCTTCCATCAATGTTACAGTGTAATGTAACAAAAGATGAGCAATAACAAAGCAATCTCATCAAAACAGAATAACATTTTGTCTAAGATAATACAACAGAGATTAATGTGATGTGAACAGACAGAGTAACATGCTTACCTTATTAAGTCTACATGACACATACATATGTTCTTCAACAGTCTGCTGTGAACAAGTGTTTGCTGGAATAAGGTGACACAAATAATGCATGCAAAATAAACAACAACATTTACAATCACTACCTCAAAACCAACTATTTAAAAATTGCAATAGCAATATAAAATAGCGATATATGCAGCAGGGATGGGGCAAATACTGGAGATCAGTAATCAAATACAAATACTTTAAATGTTTATGAATACAGGAAAATGTTAAGTATTCAAATACAAATATAAATACATAGGAATGTATTCCTGAATACTTTGTCAGGTAATATGCAATAATGAGAAAACAGCAGGTGATAAAAATTTCAATAATTATATTTTATGAAACAAACTTTTTAGAAACTGAAACAAACAAATAATAACATTTCAATACTTTTATTTCTCAAAATGCAATAACAAAATTTTAGAACTAAAAATATATTTTTAAAGGAGAATTATAGATATTATAACTGTCCATTATTCTTTATGAACATCAGTCTCTCAAATGTCTTGTCAGTGAGACAGCAGCCATCAGGTCTGAGGATTTTGCCTCAGATGCTAAACAAATGCTCAACAAAGGCAGAGGATGCTGGAACACTCAGGTAGTGTTTGACTAGTAGAGATAGGGTAGGAAAGTTTTTATCGTGGATCTTCCAGTAATCTAGAGGGTTGTTTTCTTCAGGAATGCAAGGACTATCAAGGTAGGTGTTGATCTCTGTATCCTCTGAAGATGAGATGAGATAGCTGGTTTCTTTTAGGCAGAAAAGAAACTAAAGAGCTTACATCTTTTGCAAGGGGGAATTTACAGTCCTCTTTTGGTTCCATGGTTGTGGAATTAGTTGTTGAGGAAATTTTCTTGACTTCTTGCTGCAGGAGCATTCAATTGGATTCATAGACCATAGGTCTAGTGAAACACCAGTCAAGTTTAAATCTGGGATCCAATGCCACAGCCAAGCAGAAGACATTTCATTGCTCATACTGAGTCAGACAGATTTCTTCAGTGCAGAAACAAGATTGAAATTATATCTGGACTGCATGCTGTCAATCTTAGTCATCAGTCCATAAACACATGGCACTACATAACTAGAGGTAACAATGTTCTGATCCTGGATGAAATCTGTTGCCTCTTCAAAAGGTGTCAGTATTGTCACCAAATCTGCAAGCACAGTTTGATCATGAAAAGTAAGATTAGGTGTACCAACATCAAGATTATCCAACTTCTCCTGGGGAATCTTCAATACGGACTTAATCATCTTCATTTTCGAGTACCACTGTGTTGGTGTTATTGACTGAACTCTGGCCTCTCCCTCAAGTAGATCAGTTGCTTGCATTAATTTTCAAATGTAGGACATGATGAATGATGCTTTGGAAATTACTTTCAGCAGTGGTCCAGTTTTTTTCATGCCATCCCAGACCACAAGCTGTAGCATGTGGGAAAAGCAGGGGTCATGTTCAGGATGAAATTCGGATAAATTGTCTACTGATTTAGATTCATCCAAAAGTTCATCTGTAGATGAGCTATCACCATCTGTAGATGAGTTATCACTATCTTTAGATGAGTTATCACCATCTCTCACACTAGGTAGAGTTTGTGGTTCAAATCCAGGCAAGCAGAAAGCCTTGATGATGTTGGATGTGTTATCAGATGTTACATATGACACTTTGTTGTTTATGTTAAAAGACATTTATTATTTCATCATATTGAGCTGCAATGTTATCAGATGTGTGATGCCCCTTGAAATGCTAACATGCTCGCATGACTGTTTCCATTTTCCAGTCAAGTATAAGATGACCAGTGACTCCAAGAAAGCTGCACATTTGTCTTCTACTCCAGATATCCACAATGACATTGATGTTGGGTACAAGTTGCAGTAGAGAAATGACTTTTTGTTGGACTTCATCAAACCTACTCTCGATCAACATTGTGGACAGATGCCTGTGACTGGGAAGATTATAACGAGAATCCACAACTGCCATTACATCTTGAAAATCTTTTGACTCCACCACTTAAAAGGGCTGCAGTGTACTGGCAATAAAATTGACAAGTTTGTTAGTAATGTGCTTCTGATGAGGGTGTGTAGACTTATATTTAATTGATTCTGTACAGTACGCTGCTATTGTAGGCTGCTGCACTGATGCAGAAGTACCAGAGCCAGATGTAGACATCTGTAGCTCTGTCTCATGCTAGAAATACAAAAGTATATATCAGTTATATAATATACTTTATAAAGAAAATAATAAAAACATATAACAACAATAAATAAAAATGATGAACACAGTTCAAAACATGAGGAATTTAGGTTAACTATAGAATATAGTTTATAATAATGAAAATAATAAAAAATATATCATAATAAATAAATATCTCAGTTATATATTATAATATATAGTTCATAATATAAATAATAAATAAAAGAAAATAATAAAAAATATAGTTCACATTAACAAGAACAATAAAAAGCTTACCTTCAGATGTGTCAGCAGGTTAGAAGTGGTTTTTCCTGAAGTAGAAATAGTCCACTCAAAATATTTACACTTTGCCTTGATGTGACAT